GGTGTGAAGCGCAGAATTTAAAGTCTTTATTATTGTACTTGAGTGTAGATACAGAGATAACACCGAATACTTTGGGCGGTATCCATAATGGCACCAATCAGAATACATTATAGATGTTACAATAAATCACCATATGTTGCGTAATAGAAATCTAGCAAACAAAATAATAAATTCTGCAAACCTTCAAGGCCGGAGACACTCACACAGATATCAACATTCCAGTCCCCAGAGAATGTCCTGTTTATAGGAATAAAAGTTGGGTAATAAGCACAAAGCAACAGTTAGTTAACTATTAACCCTTTCACTCAGTTTCTCACAAACTCATTTAATGAGTATGGCTGATTGGGCTGCAGTGATGGCATCACAGCTCTGAATGTTGGGCACCATTTTAAATTTCTTGACGTGTTTTACTGAGGCAACACGTCATCCACTAGGTGACATGTGTATGTGCTCCATTCCCGCCTTTCATCTTGAGAGGAAATGCCTTCCCACTGCCCATCCTCAGCGATTTGGTGATCTCTGACCCCCTACAACCCTCATCAGGTCTGAGTGCTTTGGTGTGTATGTGTGAGGCCTTGCCTCACTTTTGGCCTAGTTGTTTACTATCGATAGGGAACCTACTGATCAATGGCCATTTGCTTCTGTGGACCCTACAGTTCTTCTACTTGCGCCCCCCCCCTCTTAAAATTTCTTTTAATTTGCAAAAATAAGTGCCATAAGATCAGAAGTTACCACCAACGCCAATATACGGACTGTGTCTGTGGCTGGCAGTGGCAGGGTGACAGTTGCAGTGAGGCGAGGATGATGGATCCACACTCTGACAGATCCCAGGCTGGAACTCACCAGGCAATGGGGGGAGATAAAACGCTGTGACAGCAGGCACAGACACACAAGCACACACACACAGACACACACACACAGCGATCCCACACAGTGACAGAGCCGACACAACAAACCGACACAGATCAGCAGACACTAGAAGAGCAGGCTGTGAGATTATGTCATCACTCACTGTCACATTGCACATGTGAAGGATTGCCAACCGGCCGGATCACACAGACATGAGACATTACCTTCCTCTGCAGGTGCAGCTCCACCTCTGCTGATGAATGGGAAAAGAAGGGCTGGAACTCCACAGTGATCAGCAGTTGCCAGCCGACTTGCAGTAAGGGACTGAGTCTGGGAGGAACACAGTAAGGAGCCAGAGCTCAGATGCTAAACTGGTTCTAGACACCCGGTATCTTCCTTTGTCCTTTTTCCTCCCCCCTCAGCCACCCCCCCCCCCCCCCCCCCTCAGCTGAAGGATCATTCATGACGTGGCGGCGTCCCACACAGAGTGCTGGCCTTTGTTGTGCCCCTAGGTGGCTGTGCTCCCTAGACGGCTGCTTAGTTTGCTTAGTGCAGGGGTCAGCAACCTAAACACTCAAAGAGCCATTTGAACCCGTTTCCCACAAAAAAAAACAAAACACTGAGCCACAAAACCCTTATGACATCTAAAATGAAGATAACACTGCACATATCATTTTTTTACCTTTCTTCTTCTTACCTTTCTTACCCTTCTTCCTGTGACCCAGCAGAACAGCACTATTTGTTCAGAGTCTGCCTCCTGTTTGAACTTCAGATCTCAAAGCCGTAAAGATGTTTGAAGGTACACCCACACATTTTATCAATAGGGTATTATTGCTCTTGCTATTGGTTCTCTTGGGGATTTCATACTCTCATTTTGGATGTCAGATATAGACCTCTTGGCCTCCAGATTCAGCAACAAACTGGACAAGCTTGTCTCCAGGTGCACAGGTCCTCTGGTAGAAGCAGTGGATGCTCTGGTACCTCAGTTGGTTCAGTAAAATCTGATCTATGCCTCTTCTTCTCTAATACCTGTTCCTTATCTATTCAGCAGAATCAAGATGGGGGGATTTCTAATGATTCTTATAGCTTTGACCTCCAATTTATTCTTCCAAGGTCTACCATTGCATAAGGAAGGCAAACTTCCTTAGCCTTTCACCTCACCTTCTCTTTAAAGGCAAGATTCCACTTTTTCGTGGCACATTATACTAGATCTATGAGTGCTTCTTGTGCTTTTTGACATCAGGTAACTGTTTCCCAGAATTGCAAGGCTGACACTTGGTCTTGTGTTTGCAAGTTCTACCAGGCAGCTTTTTGAGCTACAGGCTGCCCCCTCAATTTACTGTTTTGTCATGTTAGCTTTTTAGTGTTGTAACTGTTGCCAACCTCTAAGTTGTACTGCCTTTGTATGTCCCATTTGTTTCTGAAGACCAGAATCCTGTGTCTCCTTAAAAGAAAAGTATGGCCAAACCTTTTTTTGGCTTCTCTGTTGGATTACAGGAGTACATTTACTAACGTTCTCTGGTGACCCAGAGTCAGCCGATAGCTGGCTCTGCCTTTTAGGGTGCAGCTGAGAACCGGAGCCAACTGTACCTGTCCCCTCCCCAGCTTGAGGCTCCAGCATGTGCCAGAGCAGCAGAGTGTTGGGCAATGACAGGCACTCACTGCTCTCCACTGCAAGCCAACTGATCCCTTAAAGCAGTGGTTCTCAACCTTCCTAATGCCGTGACCCTTTAATACAGTTCCTCATGTTGTGGTGACCCCCAATTAAATTAAATTAAAATTATTTACCCAGTAATTATAATTCATGAGTGTCATTTTCCTCCAATACTGCTGCTTTCAACACAGTAGCTGCTTTTAACAGAGTATCTGCTTTCAACACAGCAGCTGCTTTCTACACAGTAGCTGCTCTTTACACATCGGAAATATGTGTTTTCTGATGGTCTTAGGGGACCCCTGTGAAAGGGTCGTTCGACCCCCAAAGGGGTCACGACCCACAGGTTGAGAACCACTGCCTTAAAGCTAACATTGGAAAGCTACAGCATGAAGGTGAGTATGCATTTTTATTATTTCTTCTAACCCCATAAGTTTTTAATGAAAAAGAAACAAAGAAAACAGTATTTTTGTACTTACTGTAAAATCATTTTCTTTGAGCTTTTTAAGGAATACAAGTCCCACCCTGTAATTGTGACCTATACCCAATACTCCTTTCTGGCCAAGGGCTTTTTTGTTTTCCAGCATTCAAATCCCCCAGTAGGCAGCAGAATAACTTAGTTGTATCTGAATGACTTAATCCTGTGTCTCTAATGATCTCCAGGAAACGTATTTTACAGTAAGTACAAAAATCCTGTTTTTACAAATATAAATACCAGGTGCACACGACATTGGTTGTACAGAGAATTGTGGATGTATGAGCATAGCTCTCTTTGTGAGTTTCAGCTTTGTGTGTAATTTTACTGCAGGCATTGTTGTAAGCATTTTTTGTAGTTAAATTGCAACTATGGTCAGAACAAATAATCATCATTCAATCTGTCAGAAGCAATAAAACAAGTAGTTTTGTTTTTATTACCTGTTGATATTTCTAGTAGATGTTTATATTTTCCACTTCCTGTACCTAGCCAAGTTGTTCAGCAAAAATGGCAGTTACAGGGGTGGGGGTAAACCATATAATACTGGTGGATGTGCTTACAATGTCTAGATTTTATCCAATTGTATTAAACAACTTCTGTTCTTAGTCATTAATTAAGAGAAGTGCTTACAATAATCAGCCTTTATTTGTGTACATTGTAAAACCTTTATCCCAAAAGAAAAACTGTTGCTGTAACTGCTTTTGTAACTGCAGTGTGAGCTGGAAGTTGGCTTCAGTTTGTTACTGTATGCACTAATCTGTTAGTACATCTAACACTCCCCTTCCCTCAGAATGACAGTGCTGCTGTCCAAAGGTACCCCTTTGCTCATTCATCTAGATTGGGGGCACTCTGGTACAGGAGGTGTGTTACTGGCCAGATCACCAGGTGATAACAGGGGAAAAAACTTTAAGGCTCTATGCACACTAGATTGTCCCTTCATTAATTAGAAATTAGTTTTTAAAAATTTCCAACATCACTGACATCACCGGAAGACCCCGCCCCATTGTGACACGACCCAGCATTCCCTGTGTCACTGCTATCACAAGGAGGTGGGGTCTCCCGTTGGCATCATCGGATGGCCCCACCCCTTACTTATTTAAGAGCTGTCAGACAGCTGGAGCCTTTGTCAGGACTGAAGGTTTTTCTCCTTTTTTCGTGATGGCTGTGGCGGCGGGCGGCATGGTTCACAAAGAAACAACACCGGGCGGACATTTTTTTTTTTCATTTTTCATTAAAGGACTTTGTGTTGTGTTTTTATTTACTTTTTACATTTTTTTTGCTGAATGAGTAGGGGTACTATGTTTGGGGGCTGGGACTATGTTAGGGGGTCAGATCCTGGGGGCCCTCTTGTTAAAGAGGGCTTAGAGATTCCAATAAGCCCCCGCCCGCTGACCCCCACAACCACTGGCCAAGGGGACAAGGTGCTTTTTGGGGTAGATGACCCCCCTGCCTCAAAGCACCCCCCTATGTTAAGGGCATGTGGCCTGGTCCGGGGGGGGGCGCTAAGGATCTGGTATGGATGTTGGGGGGGACCCCATGCCTTCTTGAATTTGGCATGGGGTTCCCCTTAACCCTAAAGGCCTGGTACGGATCGGGGGGGGGGGGCCCACTCTGGTTTTTTTTCACATTTATTTTTATTGACGGCAATGTTTTGGACACATAGGATAATATGGAGGGCCGTTTGGAAGGAGTAAAATAACAAACGCCTGATGCCTCTAAAGGTGGCTGCAAAAACGCTCTGTGTGCATGAGGCCTAAAGTTGTTCCACAGTCATTTTCATTTCAGTAAAATTTATGGCATTTGTCAAAGGGGTTTTGTTGAAAAGATTTTGCATCCCATACAAGTCTATTAAATTGAATGGTGCACTTCAAACAGGTTAACTGCAGATCAAATACAGCTATCAATATGATCTTCAAAGCATGCCAAACTTATACCATTGATATACCTTCACACCTTAGCAATTTACTGATGCTATTTTACTGGTAAAATTATAATCCAGAGTCTCCCTATTCCTTTTTTTGGCAGGTGGCTGCATGCTTGCTGCTCTTTATGGAGGAGGAAGATGCTTTCTGGATGATGTGTGCGGTTATAGAAGATCTGGTGCCTGCATCCTATTTCAGCACCACTCTGCTAGGTGTTCAGACAGACCAGAGAGTACTGAGACACCTCATTGTTCAATATCTCCCTCGGCTGGATAAGCTTTTGCAGGAACATGATATTGGTGAGTGACTTTGCATAGCTACATATAAGAATGACAGCTCCTGGTCATTTTCGCTGTTATAGGCATTGTAAGCAGAAACAAGGGCATGTGCTTTTTACCTGCATTATTATCTTCCATTGCTATAATTATCTCTGTATATTGTGAACACATTGCCTTTACTATATGTCTTCTCTTTTAATGACCTGCAGAGCTGTCCCTCATCACTTTGCACTGGTTCCTCACCGCATTTGCCAGTGTAGTGCACATAAAACTGCTGTTACGGATCTGGGATTTATTCTTCTACCAGGGCTCTCTGGTTCTGTTCCAGACCACTTTGGGAATGCTGAAAATTAAGGTATATTTATTTAGTAGAGTTCAATTTCCTCTTTTATATTTAATATTTAAAAATGTAGGTAAAAAGCTGCTATGCCACCTATGCTTATTTATCCAGAGTTGGAGCACTCTAATACAGGAGGTGTGTTACTGGCCTGGTCGCTAGGTGAAAACAGAGGGGGAAAAGCCTAAAAAAAGAAAACTAATGCAGCCACCACATCTAATGATTCATAAGCTACAATAAATTATTTTTTTTGTTTTAGGTTTAATACCGCTGTAAAGTTCAGCAAGGGCAGCAAAATTAAAGTGATTGTAAATGCTCTTTTTTATTAATACACTGTCTTTGTTCGGTGGCCCACACTCACACAAATGTCATATTGAGACACAGCAGTCTATGCAGGCACTGTGTCTGAATTGACATGAATATAAACGCCAGCACAGGGTTGCAAAGAACACCTGTACATCCTAGTACGGGTAATCACGCCCTTGCAGTGATGCATCCTATGTGAATGAGGCCTAAAGGTTAACTTTTATTTAGTCGTTTGTCAAAGGGCTCGTTCACACTAGTGATTGAGTGGTGGTAAAACCCCGCTGTTGAGCTGCGTTTTTACCATCCCCCAACAGAGGCAAAGGCCAGAGGTGTACAGTGGATATAAAATGTCTACACAACCCTGTTAAGGTCAGGTTTCTGTGATGTAAAAAAAAGAGACAAAGATAAAACATTTCAGAACTTTTTCCAGCTTTAATGTAACCTATAAACTGTACAACTCAGTTCAACAACAAACTGATATCTTTTTAGGTGGAGGGAAGTAAAAATATAAAACTAAAATAATATGGTTGCATAAGTGTGCACACCCTTAAACTAATATTTTGTTGAAGCACCTTTTGATTTTATTACAGCACTCAGTCTTTTTGGGTATGAGTCTATCAGCATGGCACATCTTGACTTGGAAATATTTGCCCACTTTTCCTTGCAAACAAACTCCAAATCTGTCAGATTGCGAGGGCATCTCCTGTGCATAGCCCTCTTCAGTTCACCCCACAGATTTCCGATCGGATTCAGGTCTGGGCTATGGCTGGCCCATTTCAAAACTTTAATCTTCTTCTGGTGAAGCCATTCCTTTGTTGATTTGGATGTATGCTTTGGGTCATTGTCATGCTGAAAGATGAAGTTCCTCTTCATGTTCAGCTTTCTAGCAGAAGCCTGAAGGTTTTGTGCCAATATTGACTGGTATTTGGAACTGTTCATAATTCTCTCTACCTTGACTAAGGCTCCAGTTCCAGCTGAAGAAAAACAGCCCCAAAGCATGATGCTGCCTCCACCATGCTTCACTGTGGGTATGGTGTTGTTTTGGTGATGTGCAGTGTTGTTTTTGCGCCAAATGTATCTTTTGGAATTATGGCCAAAAAGTTCAACCTTGGTTTCATCAGACCATAACACATTTTCCCACATACTTTTGGGAGACTTCAGATGTGTTTTTGCAAAATTTGGCTAGGATGTTTTTCTTCGTAAGAAAAGGCTTCCGTCATGCCACTCTACCCCATAGCCCAGACATATGAAGAATACGGGAGATTATTGTCACATGTACCACACAGCCAGTACTTGCCAGATATTCCTGCAGCTCCTTTAATGTTGCTGTAGGCCTCTTGGCAGCCTCCCAGACAAGTTTTCTTCTTGTCTTTTCATCAACTTTGGAGGGATGTCCAGTTCTTGGTAATGTCACTGTTATGCCATATTTTTCCACTTGACGATGACTGTCTTCACTGTGTTCCATGGTATATCTAATGCCTTGTACCCTTCTCTTGACTGATACCTTTTAACAATGAGATTCCTGTGATGCTTTGGAAGCTCTCTGCATACCATGGCTTTTGCTGTAGGATGCGAGTAAGAAAATGTCAGGAAAGACCCACTAGAACAGCTGAACTTTATTTGGGGTTAATCAGAGGCACTTTAAATGATGGCAGGTGCGTACTGACTCCTATTTAACATGATTTGGAATGTGATTGCTTAATTTTGAACACTGCTACATCTCCAGTTATAAGAGGGTGTGCACACTTATGCAATCACATTATTTTAGTTTTTCATGTTTACGTCCCCCCCCCCCCCCCCAAAAAAAAAGAATTCCGTTTGTTTTTCAATTGAGTTGTACAGTTTATAGGTGGAAAAAGTTCTGAAATTATTTATCTTTTTCCAATTTTTTTTCATCACATTTTAAAACCTGACATTTTAACAGGGGTGTGTAGACGTTTTATATCCACTATATGCATGCTGCATTGGTGATGCTTTGCCTTGCAGACACAGCAGGAATTATATCCCTAGTTGTTTTTGGTGGACGTAGTGCCACTCTGGAACAGCCCAACAGCCGCATGCAATGCACATGGTTGTAGTGCAATATTGTGGGTTTCAAGGAGTTAAAGTAGGCTGTAAGGAGGTGATGCACCTCCTCACTACCTGTCAAATGCTCTCTAAAGAGCAATCTGAACATGGATCACGGTTCAGAGAGCAAAGCTAGTGTGGACTCAAAAAAAAAACTAGCACATACATAATGTGTGCCATGCATGCCTTGCAGCGTGCCAAGGAATATTGGCATACAGCAAGAATGCACAGGCATGGCTCGGAGATCTCTATGAAGGTGTTTCCTTCATAGGTAAAGTGCAGGGCTCTGTGGGGTGGGACTTGAAAGGCAGGCAGTGATCTGAGAACAGGGCTTGGGGGTGGGGTGGGGGGTGAGGCTTGCAGGGGTGGAACTTGGGAGGGCAGGGCTATAGATCTAAGAGTGAGATAAATTGGGCCGGATTTATATATTCAATCCTGCCCAGAATTAGTGCTGATTACGTGATCTGCAAAGTCAGAAGGACTACAAGTAGGAGTATACTGACTCTGCCTCTGCAGGAAGTATCTATGTGAGGATTAGAGTCTCTCAGCAGGAAGTTATGCTGTTCCACAGGACAGGCAGCCCGACTAAAGGGAGAATATCAAGGAATCTGTAAACATGTCAGCAATATGCTGTAAAGGTACAGTCTATGCTTGTGTTTATCATTGCATTTTATGTACATTTCGAGTTGGAATTCTGCTTTAAACAAAGTACAGCTATGTACTGTAGTATGACTAGATCTCTTACTGCTTGTAGGAAGAAGAGCTCATCCAATCTGAAAACTCTGCCTCAATCTTTAACACTCTATCAGACATTCCATCCCAAATAGAAGAGCCAGATGTATTACTACGAGAGGCCATGATGATTGCAGGAACACTTACAGAAGTCATGATTGAAGCCCAGCGACGCAAACATCTAGCTTATCTCATTGCAGACCAGGGTCAACTGCTCAACTCCACTGCTGCTGTCACCAACCTTTCCAAAGTAAGTATTCTGTGTAAGGATTAGTTATAAGGTATAGTCTTGTGTGTATATTTACTTCTACATAATAATGAAAATCTCAGTACATAGACAAATTGTGAAGATGTGAATGTGTATTATAATGAGTCCATGTTTTATTTGTAGATCCTCTCTAGTCCATTCATACATAAAGTTATACTTTTATTTCAAGTATTCATATATGTAGTGTTAACTGATGACTATTAATATTTGTAGCATACCTTTACATACACAAACCAGAAATACTATCTGTCACATTCACGTTCAAGTTTTTATTTCTTGCTGATACATTTCAAGCAGTATCTCAGCCTCTTACCCAGGATAAAGCCCCATGAAAAGTTATTAATTATTTTAGTGTGGCAGAGAATCAGTGTTAAGTCATGAGCAGCAAAAGTGCTGAAGAGTTGCTGAGTCCCCTATAATAAAACAAGTATGTATTAAATGTTTTTTCATCCTTTTTGTCTGGTCAGATCATGAGAAGACAGAGTCAGAGAAGGAAGTCTGGCATCACAACGCTTTTGTTTGGTAAGCAATTCACTCATTTGACATGCTCCTAGTTTGTGTTAAATCTTTAAAGCTATAAGTTACAGGATTTTCTTATGTATATTACTGAGGGTTTTTTTTTGTAAGCAAATTTTACTTGAGGATCCAGTGTTTTAATTAGCCAAAGATGCATTAGCTAAGTGAATGCTGTATTTAGAAAAGAAAATGGCATTCACTAATCATTCATTAGGGCAGGGGTTAAAATTTAGAGTCCAGACCACTAGCCGGTCACAAAACTTACTCGCCACCAGTTGCCCCACCCAACCTTGCCCAGGTCCGCCCCCAACCACGCCCCCTTAAAGCTTATGAAATTACATTTTTCTTTAGAATAAATAGTCCGAAATATAAAACTGTACACAGTAATATATATCCCAGCTCCCCTGTACTCCATTATAGTGATATGACATGTATACAGTAATCATAGTAATGTATATGCCAGCTCCCCTGTACCCCATTATAGTGATATGACATGTATAGAGTAATCATTACTGTATACATGTCATCACTATAATGGAGTACAGGGAAGCTGCGATATACATTACTGTATACATGTCATATCACTATAATGGAGTACAGGGGAGCTGGGATATACATTGCTGAGTAATGTATATCCCATCTCCCCTGTACTCCATTATAGTGATAGGACATGCGAGCAGCTTTTTCAATCCCTGTATTAGAGGACACAGAAGCATATTCAAAGGCATGTGGTTATGCAGCTACCACCAGGAGATTGGACACTGGCAACCATCAGAGCTGCTGGGATCACCCAACATAACTCCTTCCACTCCTAGCATTCCTCAGTTTTTTGCTAGTGTCCTACAGGTTTTGGGATTGGCTGGTGCTCATCATAGCCTTGGAGGCTATACCCAGACTCTGGTGAAAAAGACCCAGGCTTTTTTCACTGGGCTCTGCTGAAGGTACCTTCCAAGCATTTAGCTTACCATGTGCTAGCTGCAGAATGCTATACAGGTCCAGGACCATGCTGCACCTGTCTAGTGAAAACTGGTCCCTGAAGATACCTACAAGCAGAGCAATACAAAGCAGTGTGCAGGAGCTGACGGGAGAGAGCTGCATTGTTTACATACAGACCTCTCTCTCGTCAGTGATACTCCGGCGATCGCTAGGTGCCAGCGGGGACCCGGTGTTCGATAGCTGAGCCCGCCAATGGCGCACGCACCCCCTCCCGGAAATGCAAAATCGTGTGTGTGTGTATATATATATATACATATATATATATATATATATATATATATATATATATATATATATATATATATATATATATATATATATATACAGTGGGGATTGAAAGTTTGGGCACCCCAGCTAAAAATTTGTATTAATGTGCATAAAGAAGCCAAGGAAAGATGGAAAAATCTCCAAAAGGCATCAAATTACAGATTAGACATTCTTATAATATGTCAACAAAAGTTAGATTTTATTTCCATCATTTACACTTTCAAAATAACAGAAAACAAAAAATGGTGTCTGCTAAAGTTTGGGCATGCACTGCCCCCTTTGCAAAGCTGAGACATGCCAGTGTCCTGGATTGTTCTCAATCATCGTCTGGGAAGACCAGGTGATGTCAATCTCAAAGGTTTTAAATGCCCAGACTCTTGCCCCAACAATCAGCACCATGGGTTCTTCTAAGCAGTTGTCTAGAAAACTGAAAATAGTTTACGCTCACAAAGCTGGAGAAGGCTATAAGAAGATAGCAAAGCGTTTTCAGATGTCAATATCCTCTGTTCGGAATGTAATTAAGAAATGGCAGTCATCAGGAACACTGGAAGTTAAAACAAGTTCTGTGGACCGATGAGGTTAAAATTGAACTTTTTGGCCGGAATGAGCAAAGGTACGTTTGGAGAAGAAGGGGCACAGAATTTAATGAAAAGAACCTCTGTCCAACTGTTAAGCATGGGGTTGGATCAATCATGCTTTGGGGTTGTGTTGCAGCCAGTGGCACAGGGAACATCTCACGTGTAGAAGGAAAAATGGATACAATAAAATTTCAGCACATTTTGGATGGTAACTTGATGCCATCTGTGAAAAAGCTGAAGTTAAAGAGAGGATGGCTTCTACAAATGTATAATGATCCTAAACACACCTCGAAATCCACGTGGGATTACATCAAGAGGCGAAAAACTGAAGGTTTTGCCATGGCCTTCACAATCTCCTGACCTCAACATAATTGAAAATCTATGGATAGACCTTAAAAGAGCAGTGCGTGACAGACAGCTCAGAAATCTCAAAGAACTGGAAGACTTTTGTAAGGAAGAATGGGCAAAGATACCTCAAACAAGAATTGAAAGACTCTTGGCTGGCTACAAAAAGCGTTTACAAGTTGTGATACTTGCCAAAGGGGGCAGTACAAGATATTAACTCTGCAGGGTGCCCAAACTTTTGCAGACGCCATTTTTTGTTTTCTGTTATTTTGAAAGTGTAAATGATAGAAATAAAATCTAACTTTTGTTGACATATTATAAGAATGTCTAATCTGTAATCGGATGCCTTTTGGAGATTTTTTCCATCTTTCCTTGGCTTCTTTATGCACATTAATACAATTTTTTAGCTGGGGTGCCCAAACTTTCGATCCCCACTGTATATATATAATTTTGCGCAGCCCTGCTGCCCTGTGGCAGTATTTGTGCTATAAGGCGGCGGGAAAGCAGTTAATCTTTCTTTATTGCTGAGCTCCTCCATGCCTCTTATCAATTTGGTTGCCCTTCTCTGTACTTTCCCCAGTTCCCCTTTTTGTGAATTGGTGCCAAAGACTGAACTGTATATGCAAGATGAGGTCTTACTAATGATTTTTACAGGGGTATACCTCTTTTAATACAAGAGAGGATTTTGTTCGTTTTAGAAACTGCAGCTTGGCATTGCATGCCATTATTAAGCTTATGATCTACCAAAACTCCCAGATCTTTCTCCACCATTGATTCCCCCAGTTGTACTCCCCCCTAGTATGTATAATGCATGCATAACCTTACATTTATCAACATTAAACCTCATTTGCCACATAGTTGCCCAATTAAACAGTGCATTGAGGTCGCTTGTAAGTTGGAGACATCCTGTAAGGACACATGTCAACGTTGCAAAATTGTGCTTAGGCATTTAGATTTGTTTTACCCTTAGGCGCTAAAGGGTTAAGCTTGTGATCTACCAGAACTCCCAGATCCTTCTCCACCATTGATTCCCCCAGTTGTACTCCCCCCTAGTATGTATGATGCATGCATAACCTTACATTTATCAACATTAAAACTCATGTGCCACATAGTTGCCCAATTAAACAGTGCATTGAGGTCGGCTTTTAAGTTGGAGACATCCTGTAAGGACACATGTGAACGTTGCAAATTTGGCTTAGGCATTTAGATTTGTTTACCCTTACCTTTAGAATCGACTGCTTTGCAATGCATGCTATTATTATTTTTATGACCTACCAGTACACACATATCCTTCTCTACTGTTCACCCCCTTAGCTGTTCTCCTCCTAGAATCTATGATGCATGCATGTTTTGACACCAAGTGCATAACTTTACATTTAACATCATTTGTCAGATAGTTGCCCAATGAAATAGGTTGGCTTATACAGTCTACACACCCCTGTTAAAATGTCAGGTTTCTGTGGTGTAAAAAAATAATACAAAGATAAATCATTTCAGAACTTTGTCCACCTTTAATGTGATCTATAAACTGTACAACTCAGTTGAAAAATAAACTGAAATCTTTTAGGGGTGGGGGGAGGTAAACATAAAAATTTAACATAATGTGGTTGCATAAGTGTACACACCCTCTTACAACTGGATATGTAACTCTGTTCAAAATTAAGCAATCACATTCCAAATCACGTTAAATAAGAGTCAGTACACACCTCCCATCTTTTAAAGTGCCTCTGATTAACCCCAAATAAAGTTCAGCTGTTTTAGTAGTCTTTCCTGACATTTTCTTAGTCACACTGTAGGTTGGAGACATCCTGTAAAGACATTTTTCCACTGCATAGCTTGATGTCATCTGCAAACACTGAAATGGCACTTTTTAATCCCAAACTCTATATCATTTATAAAAAGGTTTAACAGCAAAGGTCCCAACACTGAACCTTGGGGTACACCACTAATAATCTTAGACCAATTTATTTTAGGAATCCTTAATTGCTACGCTCTGAATTAGGTATTTGCACCAGTTCTCTATCCAGTTACAAATTTAATTTTGTAAGCCTGTAGATTTTATTATGCATATTAGCTGCATGTGAGGTACTGTCAAACGCTTTTGCAAAATCCAAGTACACTGTATCCACAGCCATTCCTTTTGTTTTTGCTTATTTCCTCATAAAAAGAAATAAGATTTGTTTGACAACTTTGGTCTTTCTTGAACTCTTAAGTGTCCTCCCAACTATAGAAGTTAAACTAACAAGTCTGTAGTTACTTGGTAAAGATTTTAATCACTTTTTTAAAATATATGCCCGACATTGTAATTACTCCAGTCTAGTGGCACTACGCCAGTCATTAAAGAGTCTCTAAAAATTAAAGACAATGGGGTTGATTTACTAAAGGGAAATAGACTGTGCACTGAAATTGCAGTTGCTCTAGATATGAGGAGAACATACAAGAAAAATGTTTTGCTTGCATATGATTGGATGAAAGAAATTAGCAGAGCTTCGCCTCATTTCAGTGCTTCCCCTCGGATAAAAAGCAACTGCACTTGCAGTGCACAGTACATATACCTTTAGTAAATCAACCCCAATGGCTTAGAAATAACAGAGCTCAACTATTTGCAGACCTGTGGGTGTAAGCCATCTGGTCCAGTTGCTTTATTCATCTTTATTTTGTGTAAATTTCTAGCCCAGCTCTGGAGTCAGAGAAATCCTTCCTCCCTTTGGTCTGGAAGATTTCCACAACCAATGCCAGACTGACAGGCTGGATAGATATCCTTGACACCCTATTGGTGTCTCCCGATCAATATTCTGGGTCTACAGGCTATTTGGTTGT